TCTCTCTTTTCTCTCTTCTCTCTTTTCTTCTTTCCCCTCCTACTTCTTGCTGTCTACTTTACTCTACAGTCAACGAACAAGACAGAATTCTATGGCAGGTCAAACTTCAACAATAACTAATCAGAAATACCACGAGACCCACTTTATGAGCACAATAAAAACAAAATAATAGATAAACAGAAAGGAAATGGCAAGTAGAAAGGAAACGGCAAGCAGATAAAAAAGTCCAGAAAAGGATACAGGAAAGCTAGGTTCCTGGAGTGTATTTCTCTAAATCAGTGGAGCAGACGTCTCTCACTTAGGTCAGGTTAGAACATACAAGCAGATAAAGTTTTTTCTTTAGAAAACTTTCCAGCCAGGACCTATTCATTGCTTGGTTCAACCCCTTTGCATGCACTGTGACAGCTGTACAGGAGACTAAATCTCAAGGTTTGAATGAATAGTTCCATCTATAAAGCCAAATTTCAGTTACTTTACTCCCAGGAGAAGTTTTAAAAAAGAACCATTACCAAATGTTGGTCCCAGCAATCTGGGGTGTTTTAGGGTTGACTGGACTTAACCTTTGTCATTTTCTTGCACAAAGTAGCTGCTCTCAGACTCAAACCCACTTTCTCAACTTGTAGCCTGAGATTTTTACCATTGCATCAAGCAATGGCCCGTCTCCAAGGGAAGTTTAAGGAAAAGAAAAATATGCTGCAGCATTCATATCTACTATGCACTGCAATAGCAACTTAGAAGAATGTGTGTCCGTGCACAGTGTATAAAAGTTGTTTCCAAGTAATAACTTCATACCAACGCCCATTGATATCAACAAAATCCTCAAGATTGAATAAACTTTGACTCTTAATGCTGGAAGTGCACATCGCCTGAAATACTCTGTTAGGAGTCTGACAACATCTGCAGCATGTGGTAATAGTTGACTGCCAGCAGAAATAAGAAATATGAGTAAGACATGAATAACAGCATCATCAGCAGATACCAGGCAGAAGAAAATACAAAATTAAAGCAGGATATTTGTTACAAAGGTACTAAACAATATCTCTAACATTTGAGAATATGTAGTGCAGAGCAAACCTGGTAACATAAGAAGCACAACAAAAAAAATAAAATAAAATCCAATCGTCATCATCATCCAAGCCCATCCCAACCATATAGGGTTGGTTACATGAATCCCATTTTGTATTTAATGCATATCCATTGCTAAATTATTAGCACTTAAATTATTTCATTTCTTACTAATTTGACTGATGTCCTTTTTTGGGCTACCCCTACCCCTTCAACCTGCAATAGATCACTTCTCTAGGGTACTGTCAAAGGTCTTCTGTGTGCATGACAAAACCATCTTGGTCTACTTCATAGTTTCAAGGCACCAAAGCGAGGCTAGGCAACAGGGGGGGTGCCTTGTCAACTAGTCACCTAGGCGATGGAATTTTTTTAAGTAAAAAACATGTATCCTAGGGTAGTTCCCTAGGTTCCATAAGTATATTTCCTTAACAATTATCTATAATTTTCATAAGTATAAACTTCATGTTGAAGTACAGAAAATGTGTTGATTAAATAGAGCATATCTCCACGCTGTGCAATGTTACATAGCCATACATAAGAAGATCATCAGTAACGCAAAATTTAACAAGTCATCTTGTTTACCTGCGCACTCTTTTAATGATTCCAGTCAGAAGATCCAAACCACATAAGTGCAACAGTGGAAGCTCTGAACAAATAAATTCTCGTTGCATGACTGTTAAGAAGGGCAATAAGGATTGAGACAGTGAACCATCCACCATCAGCACTCTCCCAACAAGTACTAGTAAAGGGCGAACAGGAACAATTACCTGTTAAGCCAAATGTATCATGCTACTGAAGACTCCTAATTGCATTTATATACTTTCATGTATGCCAAAAAAAGAAATCAAAACTGAAAATATTCTTAACAATGCCTTTTTATGGTAATTTGCTTATCAAAATATTATCAACAAGGCTGAGGCTTTGAAGTGTTATGGTTTTGGGGAAAGATGGTGTGGCTGGATTGAAGGTTGTTTGGGAACTTGTCATTATGGTAAGGGACTTTTTTCTAGCTATTAGGGGATTGAAACAAGGGGACCCTCTTTCCCCTTTCCTCTTTACTCTAATTGCAGATGTGTTCCATAGACTTTTTTTTTATCAGCAACTCTGAATTGATTTCATTAATTAGCAAAAATTAGGGATACACCAAGTTGTGAAGGCAAATAGGAATAGAAAATTCTAGATGATGATAATGATAGTAAATAATGTACCCATAAATTTCTATAAAATTCATTTTTTTATTTTTTTATTTTTTTATTTTTTGTTCTTTATTATTAATCGGATGCATATTCAATAGACATTTATTGAAGGCAAATAGGACTTATCTGTTTAGAGGGTGGAGGGTAGGCAGGAATAATACGTTAGTAACACATTTGCAATTTGCAGAATACAATCATTTTTTGTGAAGGTGGCGATACCAAGAAAGCAAGGCAGTTAAAGAGCGTGACCAAGCTATTTGAATGCATTTTTTATCAATAGCATGCAACTTCATTAAAACTATGGGAAAACATGGTAAATTACAAGCAGAGGGAGGTAAACTATCATAACTTCCCTGCAAATAAAACAAAACAAATACAAGATTAGAAAGGAGCCCAAAACAAGGAATCCCTATTCACCCCTTGTTTAGCTAGCCCATCAGCAAATGAGTTAGCAGTTCTCCTCACCCAGCTGTATTTTATCTCGATATCCTTAGCCAGCCATTTGAATTTTTTCCTTTCATTGTTAAATTTCCACATTCCACCCTTGTCTTCCTTTTTCTTACCACCACCTTCGAATCACCTTCTGTTACCAGCCTCCTAAAGTTCAATTCTATCTCTTTCCAGTTTATCAACAAGTCAAGGAAAAATATGTGAATAAGTCCAAGGATTTCAGCCATTGTGCCACCCTTACATGGATCAACTCTATTAAGTCCTCAAAGTTTCTCTCCTTTTTTGAGAAAATTCTTGAAATTCTTTCCTCCCATAGGGTCCAGCATACAACAGCCCTAATACACTTCCACATTAACATACCTCTTTTCATTGGCCAGCTGAAGGAGGGAGAAAACAGGCTTTGTACATTCATTGGGGGGTTCGAACTACACCCAAAAGTGAGAAAACTCATTCCCAAATAGTTTTAGATAAAAGGCAAGACACCAAAAGGTGGTACCCAGTTTCCCCATCAGCTTTGCAGAGAGTGCACCTATGTGGGGACTAACAAGCCTTGGGTCTCTTTCTTTGAAACAGAATACATAGGGCTGGCAATCTTGACCCCAACCCATTTGACCCACCATTCTATTGGCGGGTCAACATGGGTCAAGTAACCCATTAGGATCAGTGGAAAAGGGTCAGGGTGGGTTGGGTCGAGGGTACCCATTAGGGTTAGGATGGGTAGGGTCGAGGGTACCCAAATCTGAAAAAAAGAGCTGTTAACGTGACTTGAACTCACGCCTCCTAGATCATCAACATCCCATTACAAATCCAAACCACCATGCCACATTTCATTTTGTGATTAAAAGAGAAATAAAATAGATTTTATTAACTTTCGTATTCACATGGAATTTTACACGATAGCACTTTTACAAAAGCAATTTTATAAAATAATTTTATGAAAAGTACTCTTACAAAAGCAGTTTTACAAGGTACTTTTACGAAAGCAGTTATAGAAAAGCACTTTTACACAAAAGCACTTTATGGAAGTACTTTTACGAAAACATTTATGAAAGCACAAAAGCACTTTTCAAAAGGTACTTTTATGAAAGCATTTTTACCAAAGTACTTTTACACAAAAGCACTTTTATAAAATCTATGCATTTTTTTTGCATTTTTTATGATTTTTCTGCAAAAAAGTTCTGCATTTTTTGTAATTTTCTAACTTTTCTGAATTTTTTGCAATAATTCTGCTATTTTCTGCATTTATCTACAATTTTTGCATTTTCAGGTGTACGGGTTGACCTGACCCGTTTTTGTTACATGACAGTCTTGAGAGAGATGATTCTCTCAAAAATGTTTTTTTTTTTCAGATATACAGGTTAACCCAACCCGTTTCTATCACGTGGAGTCTTAAGAGAGATGATTTTCTCAAAAATGTTCTTTTCCGACTATACGGGTTGACCAGGCCTGGTTCCTTCATGTGGCATCCTTGAGAAAGATTATTCTCAAAAATTGTTATTTTCTGGTATACGGGTTGCCCCGACCCATTTCTGCCACATGGCAGTCTTGAGAGATGTTCCTCTAAAAAACTTGTTATTTTTGGGAACATGGATCGACCCAACCCGTTTCTACCACACGACAACCATGAGAGAGAGAGAGATGTTGCTCTTAAAAATTATTATTTCAGGTATACGGGTCGTCCCGACCCATTTTTGTATTTATAGGTGAGGATAGGTGGGTCAGTATGTGTGAGGGTGGTTAAGGGTCAATATGGATGGGTCAAGTGGGTCATTATGGGTGGGCCAGGGTTAGGGTGGGTTACGACACTTTAACAAGAATTAACGATGGGTCATGGTGGGATGGTGGATCAATATGGGTGGGTTGGTATTCAACCCTTACCCAACCCACCCACTTGCTACCTCTATAGATACATGTGTTGACTCTTTCCAGGAAAGCTTCCTGACAAAAACTCCCAACCTGAGGAGGAATGGGCTTGCACCAAACCTCTTTAACAAGGAAAGACAAACCAAGAATGGCAAGTTGATAAGTTAAGGTTTTAAAAATTGATGCACAAGAGAAGGACCCCGAGGGAGAGGGGGTCCAAAATCTGTTCTCTTCCTTTGAAGTGCCCAAACAAACACACTCGAGGGTGGCCAAGAGGGTCAAGGTGCTACCCAATTTTGTATCCCTGACAGCCCTCCTCAGGCAGTCAGGCCTAGATTCCACCCAAAGCCAGAGGTCAATTCTAAAGGAACTAAGAAAGAAGAAATAGGCTCATTTTTTAGGTCGAAGAGAGCATCCAAGGGAATTGGTTCATCAATGGAGAATCCCCAACCTAGGTTTGTTCCCAAAATTTTATGAAGTTACCTGAATTCAAATCTTACCTGATCCAAGGGGAGAGTCGACAGAAGGTCATGGATTGCTTTCCATGGAGAAGCACTTGTAGTCCTTGCCAAAATTCTAGGATCCCATCCATTGTCCTCCAGCCCATGAATGCTAGCCACTATCACAACTTGTATGCTCTCTTTGACCTCCTCGCTTCTTACTTCTAGTTACCACCTCCCAACCCACCCTATGGTCCCTCTTTTCCTTTCCTGTCTCCCACGAAAAATCCCTCATCAGCTTTTCCAATTTATTAGAGACCTTTGTAGGGATTTTGAAAGATGAAAAGTAGACAAGTAGATTAGCTAGGGTAGACCTAATCAAAGTAATCCTCCTCCCCAAGAGAAAGATAAACTTTCTTCAAAGAAGCAAGTCATTTCTCAAATCTTTTCACCACTGGATTCCAAAAGCTTCCTTTCTTGGGTTATGTCCTAGGGGAAGGCCTAGGTATTGCATGGGCCACTCCGAAATTGCACACCCTAGAATACCTACACACTCCCTAATCTCCCATCCCTCCAAGTTCACTCCCACTATACAACTTTTCTCAAAATTCACCTTAAGATTGAACATTTGCTCAAAGAGTTGTACAACCAATTTCATATTCCTAATCCAACACATGTTTCCACTTTCCCAGAATAAGATTGTATCATCTGCAAATTGCAAGTGTGTGAGTGGTATTTCCTCCCTTCCTATCCTCTAACATCTCAACAAATTTCTCGAATCAACTCTATGGATCAATCTCCCTAATACATCTGCAATCAAGATAAACAAGAAGGTGGAAAGTGGGCCTCCTTGTCTTATCCCTCTCAAAGCTGGGAAAAAATCCACCATTGTTCCATTTACCAACACTGAATAATGACAACTCCTAATACATCCCAATACCCATTTACACCATTTGACCCTGAATCCAAAGTTAACCAACACTTCCATCAAAAAGGACCAATCAACCAAGTCATAAGCTTTTTCTAGATCTAGATTGCAAACCACTCCCTTCTTTTTGGTCTTCTTGAAATTATCCAAACTCTCATTTGCAATTAGGATTTGATCAGAAATTTGCCTTCCCTTCACAAAGGCTATTTGAAAGCATTTCTATTTCCTAAGTTGAATATCAATTTTGACAAGAATTGTGTGGCTGGGATGAACCTTGAGCAGGAGGAGTTGAATGTAGTAGTGGAATCCCTAGGTTGTTCTACTATCTACTAGCCAATGAGATATCTAGGCGCCCCTAGGAGATAATCCAAAGGAAAGCAAGTTTTAGAGTCCAATAGTAGAGAATCATTCTAAGAGACTGGCAACTTGGAAGAGGAATTATATTTCTCTTTGGGGTAGAAGTAGAATTACCTTGATAAAATCCACCTTAGCAAACTTGCCAATTTATTTGTTATTGGTCTTTAGAATGCCACAAAAGGAAGTGGAAAATTAGAAAAACTAATTAGAGACTTTTTATAGGAGTTTAGGGAAGGAAGAAAGGATCACTTGATCAAATATGAATTAGAGTGTAAAAGCAAGGAGAAAGGAGGCCTAGGTATAGGTAATTTAGGGAAGAAGAATTTATCTTTTCTAGGTAAATAGATCTGGAGATGGCCTCTAGAGAGGGGGAGATTGTGGCAAGAGGTCGTTGCTAGAATTCATGGAAATGTAGGCAACGGCTAGGATGTTAGAGTATCTTCAAGGGGTATTATGGCTTATCCCTAGAAGTCCATTTGTGGAGTGTTTCCTTGGTTTCTAGGTAGACCTGCTCACGGGTCGGTCGGGCTTTCATTGGTTATCAATGCAATATATTGAGGCCCAAGCCCGACCCCGACCCAACCATCAAGCCTACATCTTAGGCTCAAGCCCGGCCCTTGTAAAAGCCCAAAGCCCGACATTGCAATCGCATATCTGAGTGCACCGCAGGGTTAGCGAACTAGGGAGAGAGAGAGAGAGCGATGGACAACGATTTTCTGAACTACCAACGCTTTAGATCTGAGTTCACCGCATGGCTGGAGAACTGGGGAGAGAGAGAGAGAGAGAAAAGATGTCGTCAATCTGAGTTCACCGTAGGGATGACAATTTTCTGAACTACCAACACTTCAAATCTGAGTTCACCGTGGTACTGTAGATGTTGCCAACCTGATGTTGGGACTTGGGAGTGTTTGGAGCAGAGCAAAGCTCGATGAAATGGGGACTAGCTGCTGGCTTGCCGCTACTAGAGCATAGCTCGAAGAAATGGGGACGCCGTCACGTTGCTAAGAGAGAGTCGAGGACAGAGCTCAGAAAGATGTCGTCACGTTGCTAAGAAATAGGGATGAGTTTGAATGAACACTTGGGCTAGGGTTAGAAATATTATATGTTTAATAATATATATTATTAATATTTTTATATATTGTCGGACCGGGTCAGGCTTTTTTGTAAAATCCCAAGCCTGGCTCGAAATCATGTCAGGCTTAGATAATAGGGCCCGAGCCCGGGACTAATAATATGTCCAAGCCCGACCGTGGCCGGGCCAGGCCGTCAGGCTACCCGGCCCATGAACAGATCTATTTATAACCCTTATTAGGTATGATGATCGCCCTAGAGATAAAGTTCTCTTTTGGGAGGACTTTTGGATTGGCAACGCAACCCTTAAAGATCTCTTTCCTTCCTTGTACTCCCTTTCTTTGTTCAAAAAAGAACCTATCCTCCGCTTTGCATCTTCCTCCTCGTTGACCAAGTTCGGTTGGAATTGGGATTTGGGACTAAGGAGAGATTTGAAAGACCATGATGGTGGTCTTTTTGTCCCAACGACCTTTAGCTGGCTGAAGAGAAGAGGCAAAGTTATATGGAGATGTGCTCAAGCTGCATTGATTTGGACAGTATGGGAAGAAAGGAATAACAAAATTTTCAATGGTACAAAAAGGAATGAGGAGGCAATGTAGGAATGTGTAGTAAATAGGGTTATACATTGGGCTAAATCTTTAAACCTTTTTCTTAGATTTCTCTTTTGATGATATATGACCAAATTAGGAAGTTGTAGCAAGAAGTTTTGTTGTGAAGGATAAACCGGTTGCGGTTTGGGTATCACCAGAAGACGGTTTTATCAAGTTAAACTTTGATGGAAGCAGTCTTGGAAAGCCAAAACCAGCTGGCATAGGAGTTTTCAGAAATATTGATGGACACATTCATGATGTATATTCAGGTCCTGTTGGAAAAGGGGACTGAGTGTATGTTGAGTTTCAAGCAGTATTACAAGGAGTACAAATTGCTAAAGACAAACTATGGCAGATTGGTAATTGAGGGTGACTCTAAATTCAAAGTAGGTGGGCTGAAGGAATTGGAAATAGTGGGTTTAGAAAAACAGTGAATCAACATTGAAAAGTTTTAAATGGTTAGTTAGAGATATAAGAATTATCATCCAATGGGAAAGGAGGTCATAAAATGGGATAGCTGATTTTTTTTTTTTTTTGCAAAACAGGGGGTGCATATGGCTGGACTATTTTTGGCTCAATTGTAATTCTGATTTTGTAATGGAGGCCACACCTCGCACCTCTGTTTGGGTGCTTTTATTAATACCTTTTTGTCATCTTTAATAAAATTATCATTGCATGTCAATAAAAGCAATACAAAAGAATCGCATAAACATCACACCTGGGCAGGATAAGGATTAGTAAGCATTCTGCAACAACAAAGCATCAGCATAGATATTCTGTGCAGTATTAATTGCTCAGACATTTCAGTTGCTTGGTTGGAGGTTTCTCCTTGCATTTTGTTGCCTCCTAGAGGAGGAGGGGGTTCTTTCCCAGGTGGAACCAAGTGTTTAATAACTTCATTAGATTTAGTTTCTGCTGCATATGCAAAGAACGTTAGTCACACTAACACCAAGAAATGGAAGACTCAAATCAAGCATAGCTGGTGGTTGTATCATGTACCTTCTTCTAGACCTTGAAAAGCATCATTCAAATCAACATTTATTGATATTAAAATCTTTTGCAACATTAAGGACCAGCTATCTTCATCTCCTTTTGATCTTGGAAGTAATGCTAAACAATGGACAAACTTCTAAACAATAAAAACCAAACAAAATTCAGAAGACAAGAAAAAATGGAGTGCTGACATGTTTATATATACCACTAACATAGTTATTGTTTGAATTCTAACATTATATGCTTACAAAATATGAGTCTAAAATATTGCCTTTAATACTAAGGTGCATTTGATAACACTCAGCTCTGATATTTGAAAAGAAAAAAAAAATCTGAGAACAGTTCTGATCACAGAAAAGTCAAAATCTACTTTTCTGTTTCTTTAATACAGTGAACACAATAAAAATGCACTGCTATCTAGACCTATGAGAAATGTCTATTTTACAATTTTACGCCTTTGAGTAAATCTCTTTAGTGCTTTTGGATGTTGTTATAATTTAATGTTATTTTTTCACATGACTATTGTTTATTAATATAAATTCATAAATAAAGGCATCAAAACATTAAATAATCACAGCATTTTAAAATATTATTAATAAATAGAAAATCTATTAAAAATATTAAAATATAATAAAAATATATTTCATTATTTAAATTTAAACATAAAATAATAACAAATATGTAAAATATAACCAAGGTTCAGCACTTAGCCCATATCTATTTGCGCTAATCATAGATGAATTGATGACTAAACATATTCTAGAGGAAATTCCATGGCGAATGTTGTTTGTGGATGATGTTGTTTTAATTGATGAAACAAATGAAGGAATAAATGCAAAATTAAGCTAATGGACAAATGCCTCATAAAGAAGAGGTTTTAAACAAAGTAAGATTAAAATAGAGTATTATTAGGATTCGGCCTGCCCTTGAATCCTGTTTGACTGATAACAGTAGAAGTAAAAGAAAGAGAGAAGAAGAAGAAGAAGAAGAAGAAGAAGAAGAAGAAGAAGAGAAGAGAAGAGAGGGAGAGAGTTTTGGTTCAAACAAGAGAGAAAAGTCTACTCTCCCATTCGGCCAGATTTGTTTTTATATTTCTATTCATCTGGAAATGAGACTTGTGCCCCTACTTAAGTGAGGGACATAAGATCTAACATAACCTTACACATCAGCAATTTAAACATAAGCATAAAGACAAAAATACCCCTACATAGTCAACATTAACACTCCCCCTCAAGCTGGTGAGTATATATCATATAATCCCAGCTTGTTACATATGTAGTCCCCTCTTCCCCGACTCGACCCTTTGGTAAACAAGTATGCCCACTGGTTTCCTGTGTTAACATATGCAGTATCTATCACTCCACTCAGCACCTTCTCTTTCACAAAGTGACAGTCAACCTCTATGTGCTCGGTTCTCTCATGAAACACCGGATTAGAAGAAATATGGACCACAGCCTGATTGTCATAGTAGAGCTTCATTGGAGTGTCAACAGTGTATCCCATCTCCTATAGAAGGTTCCTTAGCCACACTAATTCACAAGTAGTATGTGCCATAGCTCTATATTCTGCCTCTGCACTGCTTCTTGCCACAACTGTCTGCTTCTTACTTTTCCATGTCACCAGATTACCCCCAAGAAAAATACAATAGCCTGTAGTAGATCTCCTATTAGATATAGAACCGGCCCAATCAGCATCAGTATATCCTGTTTTAAGTTTTCCACCACTTCTGTATATCAAACCACGACCAGGAGCCCCCTTTAAATACCTCAAAATCCTTAGAACTACATCCCAATGCGGAACCCGAGGTTTCTGCATTAATTGACTTACCACACTAACCGCAAATGAAATGTCTGGCCGAGTAATGGTTAGGTAGTTCAGTTTACTTACAAGCCGTTGGTACCTGCCAGGGTCTTCAAACTCTTCACCCATATCACTACTCAGCTTAGTGTTTGTTTCCATAGGTGTTTTAGCTGGTTTAGTACCTAACAAACTCGTTTCTTCCAGCAAATCAAGGGCATATTTCCTTTGACACAAGTTAATACCATGCTTAGACCTTGCTACATCTATCCCCAAGAAATATTTTAGTTTACCATAAATGGCCTTCTTTAGTCGGCACACCTTACCATCCTCCCCCTGAGCAACAGACGGGTGGTTGCTCCATATAGACCTCCTCGAGCAGATCACCATGCGATAAGGCATTCTTGATATCAAGCTGATAGAGGGTCCAATCATACATAGCAGCAAGAGAAATCACAACATGAACTGAACCAATCTTAGCAACCGGGGAGGTCTCTGTGTAGTCAATACCATAGGTTTGGCAGTACACTTTGCAACCAGTCTAGCTTTCAGCCGCTCTACATGACCATCAGGTAAGTACTTAACAGTATAAACCCACTTACAACCGACAGCCTGCTTACCAGGAGGAAGAGTGGTGAGATCCCATGTATGATTATGAGTTAGAGCTGAGAGTTCTTCCATTGCACGGCACCACCCTGGAGAGGCAAGGGCTTCCTGGACATCCTTAGGGACAACAACAGAGGATAACAAGCAGATAAACTGGCAATGGAAAGCAAAAAGGTGAGTGAGAGAAACATAATTAGAAATAGGATGAAGGGTACAACTGTGTTTACCTTTCCTCAAGGCAATGGGAAGATCAAGTTCAGATACTGGGGTTGGGGCTGGTGTGGGGACAACTGTCGGATCTGTCGACGAAGATGGAGCTGAAGGAGGAGCCAGTACATGTTGGCGATGTGTATACACTTGACGAACAGGTGGTCGTTTAATAGGTGGTGGCACCGGAGGCAAAGACTTGGTCACAGCTGGAACAAGAGGAATAGAATCCGCAACTGGAAGAGGAAGGGGAGGAGGTGATGAGGAGGAAGAAACATCATCGAACCCCAAGAAAAACGGAGTACACTCAAAAAAAGTAACATCAGCACACACAAAGGAAAGTCGAGAGCTAGGATGATAACACTTTAACCCTTTTTAGGTCCTGGAATAGCCAAGGAAGATGCACCTAATGGGTCGTGCATCTAACTTGTCCGTTCCTGGCCCCGAATTATGAATGAAGCAGACACACACAAAAACCCAAGGAGAAAGGGAAAACGGAGACAAGGTAGGAAACAAAGTGGTGAATGGAGAATGACCATCAAGGATAGACGTAGGCATCCAATTAATCAAGAAGCAAGAAGTAAGCACTGCATCACTCCAAAAAGGTTTGGGTACATTCATGTGGTGCATGAGGGATCGAGCAGTTTCCAAAAGATGACGATTCTTTCTCTCAACCACCCCATTTTGTTGTGGGGTGTAGGTACATGAAGTCTAATGGATAATGCCATGTTGGTCCAAATATTCTTGAAATGATATAGAGAAATATTCACGGCTATTATCGAAACGAAAAATTTTAATGTGGACACCAAATTGGTTGCGAATTTCAGCATAAAAAACAATTCACTCCTTTCTTTCATTAAATAAAGCCATGTCATCCTTGAATAATCATCAACAAAAATGACAAAATATTTATATCCATTGTAAGACATTACTTGTAAGGACCCCAAACATCTGAATGAACCAAAGAAAAAGGACTTGACATACGTTTATCAACCCTAGGACTAAAGGGAACATGATGATGTTTCCCCAACTGACACGACACAATCCAAAACATAAAGATGACTCAACGAAGGAACCAAAGACTTCAAAACTTTCAGCGAAGGGTAACCAAATCGACAGTGCCACTGGAGGGGAGAAAGAGATGACTGGAGAGCTATTGACGTCCTTCCACCAGCTTCATGCCCTCCACCAATCTTCATCCCCGTCTTGAGATCTTGAAAAACACACGAATAAGGGTAAAAAGTAATAGAGCAATTAAGAGACTTTGTCAACTTACTAACTGGCATATGGTTAAATAGAAATTTAGGGGCGTACAAAACTGAGGATAAGGGTAAAGGGTCCATGTTAACATTACCAACACCACAAATGGAGAATGTGAAATCGTTAACAAGGGTAACAAATTGTGATGTTGGGTAATGAGAGAGGGAAGAAAACACACCTGGAGTTCCAGGCATGTGATCAGAGGCTCCAGAGTCAATAATCCAAGGATTGGGTGTGGATGCCAGACAAGCCATACCTGAGTGTGAGAGAGTGGTCGTGTTCTGTTGAGCTGTGGCCTGGACAAACCTCTCATACTCATCATCTCCTTCCCAGGAACATCAGTGGATGTAGGGAGCATCTGATCAGTTAAACGACTCTTGTCTAAAGCTACTGTCACTAGTCATGGCATGATTGGCCCAAGTTGAAGGTGGACCATGCAAATCATAGTAATAATTAATGGTATGTCCATCCATACCACAGTGTGTACATCTCCTCGGACCCGAACTACGTCCTTTGCCACGGGTTCCCCCTGAATCTCGACTTCCATTACGACCACCACCACTACGACCATAAACCTGTCCACTGCTACCACTACGGCCAAACTGAGCTCCCCAACATCCACCTCTAACACCACAGCCCCTTGATACTACAAAGGTTGATCTGTCAGAAACACTAGACTTCTCGGTAGATCCAATAGAAATCCTCCTAAGTCGAGCAAACACCTCTTCTAAGGAAGGGAGAGCTGATCCTCCTAGTATCTGAGCCCGCACTTGTTCATATTCAGACTTCAGCCCCACCAAAAGTCGGGTCACATCTAGTTCTCTCTATTGTAGCTGAATTTTGACATCAGAAGTGGGGGTGATAAACGTTCAACTCATTACGAATGTTTCTCATACTAGCATAGTACTCCTCAAGACTCTGATTACCCTATTGTAGATTAAAGTATTCTTGATACAGCTAATATACTCTAGTTGTGTTGTCTTGACCCGAATACAACTTCTTAGCATGGTCTCGCACTTCCTTGGCAGTATCAAAAACATGAAATATTGTTCCATAACCATGTGATAATCTGTGCATCTTCTTGTTCCCAGTCATCATACTCATGAGAATCAGTGAAGGGTTTTTTCTTCCCTTATGTGTTTCACCTTCTTCTTTGGCTTAAGAAAGACTTCTACAGATTTAGCCCAAGGTACATAATTTTCTCCATTCAGTTTAATAGAGGTCATCTGAGCATTCAGGTAGTCAGTAGGGACCATCACACTAGTC